CAGAGGCGGGTCTGTATACAGTCGTCCCTGCTGTGCGTGCTCTGTGCCCAGGAGTCAAAGGCCGAGTGTGTATACAGTCGTCCCTGCTGTGCCTGGGTGTACCCAGGAGTCAGAGGCTGAGTGTTTATACAGTGGTCCCTGCTGTGCATCCTCTGTGCCCAGATTGCATCCCGTGCAGACATATTTTCCGGTCGTGATCCCGTAATGATTGGGGGGACGAGCATCTGCGTTGCGCGGGGTATTAAGTCACGCACAACTGGTCTAAAGTACGTAGGACAGTGCACACGAGTCCCGTGCAATCACTAGGTCATCTTATGGGACGGGCTTAGAGCCTCCCTGGGAATTCTGGGGTCGTGACCCCCCTGGTTACCCCATCCTGATGCGGCCTCCATGGTGATGCCTGGGAAAGGAATCGGAAGATTTCTCCGTGCACGAGGGGTTCGTGGAGAATGGAGGTCCCAGCTCGGGTCTGCAGCAAGCGGCTTCCCTTAGAACCATGGAGTCCAGTCTGTTTTGATGCCTATGGTTCCGGGCTGCGAATCCGTGTTAAAAACCACCCGGTGGAGAGGAGGCAAGGCAAGACGCCGCGGCTCTTGGACCAGGTAAAGAGGAAGTTGTGTCTGCAAGAAAGAGGACTCGGCACGGCGGGACCGCTCTCTCCCCATGTCTCCCGTGGGCTCCTGTGGGCTCCCTCATCAGTACCGTGAAGGATTGGGAGGAGTCGTTTCTGTGGCTCAGTTGTTAGAGTCTGAATTTGCAGCAATCTTTCAGAACAAGAGATAAGAGTCTGCAGGTCCAACAGCACCTCCCACCTTCGGCTCCTCGTGAGTCAGATTCCCAGAAGTTGCAAACCCCACACCTCAGCAGCAGATGTTCCCGCGCACGGAGTCCCCGAATCCCAGCCCCAACTGAGCGCTTTTCAGAGGAAACCCGTGACAGCGATCCCGCCTGTTCCCGGAATCGCTTTGAATCCCCCAGGACGGTCGTTTCTGGAAAGATCAAAATTATTCGACACCCTTCTTGGAACATGGAAAGGAGAAGAAGAAGCGCTCTCGTTTCTATTCAGGATATCGTTTCTCAGGAAAAAAAATACATATCCTCTCAAGAAGGCAGGGCGTTCTGTTCCCAGGGAGAGTTCCACACCCGCGGACGTCATCCCACAGCATCTAGATAGAACTCTTCCTGGTCAAACCGTCAGCACCAGCACCAGGACGAGACTGGGAGCACACCATCACCACCGCCACCCTCCCATTACCATCATCATCACGCCACCACCTGTCCATCATCAGCACCGTCACCTTCACTATGACTATCTTGACCTCCACCATTTCCATCTTCCTCATCAGTATCCTCCTCCTCCTCATCATCAGTACCACCACCACCGTCACCGTCACCACCATCACCATCATCATCATCACCACCATCACCATCACCATCACCATCTGCATCACCATCACCATCACCATCACCACTATCGCCAACACCTCCACCATCATCACCACCACATCACCACCATCATCATCACCATTATCATCACCACTGTTATCACCACCATCACCATTACCACCATCACCACCACCACCATCACCATCACCATAATCACCAGTATCACCATCACCATCACCACCACCATCACCACCTCCATCACCACCATCATCATCACCACCATCACCACCACCATCACCACCTCCATCACCACCATCACCAACACCACCATCACTATTACCATTATCATCGTCACCACCACCACCATCATCATCTGGATCATATCATGGCCTTCACCATCTTCCTCATCAGTGTCCTCCTCATCACCATCAGTGCCACCATCACTGTCACCACCATCATCATCACCACCGTTATCACCACCATCATCACCACCATCACCACCAACATCATCATCACCACCATCACCAGCATCACCATCACCATCATCACCACCATCATGACGACCACCACCATCACCACCACCAACACCATCACCACCATCATCACCACCATTATCACCACCATCACCACCACCATCACCATCACCATCACCACCAACACCAACACCATCATCATCACCACCATCACCACCACCATCACCAGCATCACCATCACCACCACCATCACCAGCATCACCATCACCATCACCACCATCATGACGACCACCACCATCACCACCACCAACACCATCACCACCATCATCACCACCATCATCATCATCTGGATCATATCCCAGTCTTCACCATCTTCCTCACATCAGCACCGCCGCCATTATAACAATCATCCTCGTCCTTGGGAACACAGACCCACATGGTGGATCAGTTGTCCCCTGGGTGTCTGTTCTCAGAGAACCACGAGCCGTACAAGGTGCTTTCCCTGCTCTCCTCCATTTCCCAAAGATGTTGATCCGAGGGACGTTTGCCCTCTGGCTGGTGCAGTTCCAGCTACGGCTCAGAAACAACTAAAAGTGAGGAGGGGACTTCCTGAGGGACATCGTCGAGATGGCCTTCCTGCAAACGCTTCTGGTGCACCCCTCCTCCTTGACACCCGGTTCCTGCCCACGCCTTTGCCTTCCCGCCATTCTCTGTTTCCTTGGGAATAAACTCACCAGAAACGAGAACTGGACGTGGTCTCTTCTCGTCTTCGTTTCCCACGAGGGGTCTATTTCCTTTGGAGGAACTTGTCCTCGCCGAGTGTGAGCGTAGGAATGCCGTTCTTTCTTCCCCTTTCTGGGAGAGATGATGAGAATTCTAATGGTCCGTCTCTGCTGTGGCCACCCGTACCCTAAAGCACTCAGTTGGCCTCGTGGACCAATTTTTAAAACAGTGGCTTTTCCAGTGGCGTGGTGGGCATCAGAGTGACTCAGCTTGGATGCCAGGAAGAGTGGGATCCAGCAGAGCTGGGAAGATACCCTCGGAAAAAGTCCAGATTCCTAATTAACTTCTAAATTTCCTCCAAACAAGGAAATTAAAAGTGATTGTCATTGATTAGATCGGACATGGAGATATATATGTATCTCTCACTGAACCAAATTTGAAAGCTTTCTTATAATACAGCTGATGTCACGCCTGGTTCCTGTAGAGATACACAGGAAACCCCAGGCGCTGAGTGGCTCTGACTCAGGGCTGGGTGGGTTGGGAGCCTTGCTGAGGTCTCACTGCGTGTTCCTAACAACACTTGAACTTGAACCCCAAACTTGAGTGAGGGAAGAACACCCAACTGGCAGCTATGATCCACCAAGACAGCCCAGGACTCTACCTTCTCAAATAAATAATTGTTCAGGCCAATGAATACCCCAACCTGCCCCATGAAATGGTAAGGGGTTGGTTCAGGGCATGGTGTCTGATAGCGGAAAGGCAGGCACGAAAATTGGGAAGTCCAGGAAGGAAGACTTTCACCATATGAATGAATCAACCAACCATCCATCCATCCACCCATCTACCCATCCACCCATCCACCCATCTGTCCATCCATCCATCCATCCATCCACCCACCCACCCACCCATCCATCCATCCATCCATCCACCCACCCACCCATCCATCTATCCATCCATCCACCCATCCATCCACCTATCCACCCATCCACCCATCCATCTACCCACCCATCCACCCATCTGTCCATACATCCATCCATCCATCCACCCACCCATCCACCCACCCACCCACCCATCCATCCATCCATCCATCCACCCACCCACCCATCCA